AAGAGAATGTTGAGTACGATGTCGACACGAGGTTGAGATCATGTATAGCTTACAAGTCGTTCACAACGCGGTTGTACGCGCGATGAGACCAAATGTTTGATCGCTTGACCAAGAATTCTTCTGCATCCTCTAGAGAGCTGACTACGAGAATTCGGCGGTTTGGTAATTTAAGATAGATGACGTCACCTGTTTATGTTAGACTAATGTGATAGGATGACCGCGTAGCGATTGGAAAACTCACCAAATTTCTCCCTCCATTCTGCAAATACAGGTGTCCACGACCCTCTTGGAAAATTCTTCAGGTTACCCAGCAAGAAATGTCGTTCTGGTCCTGGGAGATCATCCAAAGATGCTCCTTTGCTGCTATTCCTAGACCCGGCCAGGTAATAGTAGCCCAAAAAGAGACCGGCGAGCGTTACAGCAACGAGGGAGCCATCGTGCACGAGGTTGCCGTTCAGAACTTCCAACATGCCTGTTAATGCACTTCGCTCTCCAAAATCCGAGTAGTTTCAAGGAGTGGTTGGGACAGAACTTTGACGTGTTTGTGGTGCAGCGTTTGCGTCGTGGAGGAGGTAGGCAAAGATCCTCAGATGCTGCACAGAAATTGTGCCAGAAAACCCGTCCCTTTGAATGGACGGATAAAAGCGATGTAGCCTCCAGAATTCAATCCCCCCTCCCTAAGCGCCAATAGTGTCGAGTCGTGAACCAATCCAAGTGGAGCTGGCCAAGCTTGGCTCTTGACCACTCGAGGCTCTCTACTAAAGTCCAAACGGCTCGTTTGAACGACTAAACGCTACAATATCATCGTGATTATGGTCGCAGATTTCATGCCCATTTGGCGATTTTGGGTAGGACAAAGGTCAACCGTGCTCGTCATGTAGACTGTCACCCAAACCCTCCGCCATGGCTTTCATCTGGTGGCTATATAAGCGACAAGTCACCCTGATAATGTCAACCTGCCGTTCATGAAGAGCCGTGCACGTGACAGGACCCCGGCCGTAAAAAAAACTCCCCGATTAACGTACGACATCTTACCCCGCATCGAGGAGAAAGTAACCAAACGTCAAAATAGGCCTTCATTATATTGCCAAAGATCGAAAAAGCCAGCTATTTGAAATCATAATGGCAGGTTTGCGCCCAAACTCGATACCGAGATCTTCGCAACTCAATAGAAGGCGAGCTAGAATCATGCTCACGTTAGAATAGTTCGTGTAGATTTGACTTGAAGGTGTGCCTGGTCCGCATCTTCCAACAGAGAAAGTCTAACCGTACATTTGCATGCCAAAGTCACCGGAGAGATACCAATATAACCTGGAGACTTTAGCTATCCGTCCTTGTTAAGACTCTTTACTCTTTCCCCGGTCAACACCCTTCGTCACACCCC